TATAAATCTGTTCTTTGTTTGTTTTCCTAGGATTTTGCTATAGTTATATCAAATGAAACAAATTAAAATGACATTGAAACAACACCTAATACAATTTATGAAAAAAGTCTTTTATCATGCTTCTAATAATGAACCATATTCAATTGCATTCATAGATTCTCTATCAATATACTTTGATACAATACAAAATTATGTTGAATTAACATGTCAATTTTCAACAGGTGATATACATGATGTATTACGTTTAATAATATTTATATCAGAAATAATTTATATAAATATTTTTCAAAAAAGAAAGCATCATTTCTTAGTTGTGAAACAGATCAAATAATGTCATGTTGTACATTATCGAGAACAGTATTATCAATAATTGAATATCTTTATCAACGACATGGTTTAACTATATCAAATATATTATAATCATATTTAAATTTAATTGAACCAGATAAAAGATCATCTTTATTATTTAACAAAAAAAGAAATTAAATATATATATATATATATATATATCATATATTTATTGACATGATTTATATTGTATAGTTATATTATTCTTGGGGCTAAGCTGGATGCTACCAAGCGGGTCCACAGGTTGCGGATAGTGGAACGACCATTAGTACGATGGTTAGCTGCGAATAAGATCAAGCGATTGATCAAATAAACAGTCCCGGACAATACTCAGCCTTCTTGCCAACAGGGTGTGGTGGGGTTTTGATTGGAACCGAAACTCTTATAAAATGCCACAGAAACCCAAAGACGACAGGATGACAGGGCGAGTATAGGCCGCCAGAAACAAGATTCCCTCCGAATCGAGATTTCATAAGCCTTATCCTGGGTCGATGAAGCTCGCTAGCCTTGACTAGCAATTTCATCAAATGGAGAAAACCATTCTAAACCGGCGGAAGGCAAGGGGAAACCACCGCTGTACATTCCCAAGCACAACATGATAAACGTCAAGATTTTCAGACAAGATAACAGCGTGAAGGGGGTTCTCGGAGAGAACATCTCGCTCGGTAGAGGTGGTCATGTACGACAGGTGACCCTCGATCGTCAACAGGCTACTGTCCAAACCAAAAACTCACTCAAAATAGGAACGTGGAATGTAAGAACTATGTTCCAGAAAGGAAAATTAGACAATATAAAGAACGAAATGGAACGGATGAAAGTAAATGCGTTAGGCTTATCTGAAGTCAGATGGCTGGGTGCTGGATTCTTTACAACGGATAACTTTCTTTTATTATACTCTGGAGGAGACAAACACGAGAGAGGAGTAGGAATGCTTCTTGACAAAGAAACCTCCAAGAGTTTGCAAGGCTTTTGGGCGGTTTCAGACAGGGTTCTTCTTGTAAAACTCTACGGAAAACCTTTCAACATCTCACTAATTCAATGTTACGCACCAACCGCTGATTATGATGATGATGCAATCACGAGCTTCTATGAAGATCTAGACAAAGCCTACAAACAATGCAAGTCTGATGATATCATCTACGTAATGGGTGATTTCAATGCAAAAGTGGGAGATAAAAGAATTGGCAATACAGTAGGACCCTTCGGTCTAGGAAACAAAAATGACAGAGGAGATAACTTGATAACCTGGTGCCAATCACGTAATCTCGTAATCACAAACACATGGTTTAAAAACCACCCACGTAGACTATGGACATGGCGAAGCCCAGGAGACCGGGCAAGAAATCAAATAGATTATATTATGGTCCCTCATCGATTCAGGAATTCAATCATTTTCTCCAAAGCATTTCCTGGAGCAGACTGTGGTAGCGATCATGTCCCAGTCATCAGTAAAATTCGAGTGAAATTAAAAAGAATAAAACAACCACAAAGAAATACAAAGCTTCAAGTTCATATTCTGAAAAGTGATCCAGATCTGAAAGAAAAATTCCGCATAAAAGTACAAAATCGTTTTGAAGCACTAGATGAAATCACAGAAACCGAGATATTGTGGGAACAGATGAAATCATTCATAATAACATCTGCTGAAGAAGTAATTCCTAAAACACATTTAAAGAAAAAGAAACGATGGATGACTAATGAAATTTTACAACTAATGGAGCAAAGACGACTGAAGAAGTCAAACCTCCAAGAATACAAATTGATAGACAAAGCAATCAAAAAGAAATGTTCAGAAGCAAAAGAGAAATGGCTGAACGAACAATGCTCAGAGATCGAAAACAAGCTGAGTGTAAACACCAAATTTGCTCATCAAAAGATTAACGAAATAACAGGAAAATCAAAATGCACCAGTTCAGGTTGTATCAAATCAAAAAATGGAACCGTTCTTATGGAAAAAGGTGACATACTGAACAGGTGGACAGAATACATAGAGGAACTCTTCGACGACAATAGAACTTCTAAACCTAACATAAAGAAAAATATAGAAGGACCTCCAATAATGAAAGATGAAGTAAGACTGGCCATAAAATCAATGAAAACAAACAAAGCGACAGGGCCAGATGGAATATCCATCGAAATGATTCAATGTCTCGATGAACTAGGTGTAGATGTCATGACAAAACTAATAAACAAAATATATGACACAGGTGAAATTCCGGAAGATCTAACAAAATCAATATTCATAGCGCTTCCAAAGAAGCCTGGAGCTACTGAATGTGAATTACATCGCACAATCAGTCTCATGAGTCATATCACAAAAGTTTTGCTTAAGATTCTGATGATGCGTATGAAAAATAAGATCACGCCAGAAATAGCAAAAGAACAATATGGATTTATGCCTGATAAGGGCACTAGAAATGCAATCTTCATCCTTCGAACGATAATCGAAAGATCAATTGAAGTCAAACATGATCTATACCTATGTTTCCTTGACTACACAAAAGCTTTTGATAAAGTCAAACACGACAGTCTATTCCAAATTTTGGAAAAACTCGACATCGATGGCAAGGAACTACGAATAATTCGAAATCTTTATTGGGATCAAAAAGCTGCCATACGAATAAATAACGATACTAGTGACTATACAGGTATAAAGAGAGGTGTCAGACAAGGTTGTGTTCTATCTCCAGATCTTTTCAACATATATAATGAAATGATACTTAGAAATCTAGAAGATGTTGAAGGAATAAAAATTGGAGGTAAAAATTGTAATAATATAAGATATGCAGACGACACCGTACTATTGGCAAGTAATGAACAAGACCTACAGAAAATGATTGATATAGTCTCAAAAGAAAGCATAAAAATGGGACTATCACTCAATATTAAGAAAACAGAATGTATGTGTGTTTCAAAGAATAAAATCACACCGACATGCAAAGTTTACATAAATAGAGAATCAATCAAGCAAGTAAATCGCTTCAATTATTTGGGATCCGTCATAACCTCAGATGGTAGATGCGATGAAGACATCAAAATGAGAATAGCTCTCTCTAAACAAGCGTTCCAAAAGATGAGTCCAGTTCTGAAAAATAGAACCCTATCGATCGACACTAAAACAAGAGTACTCAGATGTTACGTTTGGTCGATTCTGCTATACGGTTCCGAATGTTGGACAATCAGTAAAGAAATGGAAAAACGCTTAGAGGCTACTGAAATGTGGTTTCTCAGAAGGATGCTTAATGTACCTTGGACTGCTAGAGAAACAAACGAATCAATATTAAAAAGAACGAAATCGAAAAGACTTTTAATCAATACCATCCGTTATAGACAACTAAAATTCCTTGGCCACATAATCCGTAAAGGTTGCATAGAACATCTGGTATTGAGTGGGAAAATCAATGGAAAGAAAGATAAAGGCCGACCTAGAATCAAATATCTAGAAAACGTGAATCTATGGATTGAAAAACAAGGTTATGCGAAAATAGACTTTCTTCACGCAGCACAAGATCGGAAGAATTGGCGTATCATGTTAGCCAACGTCTGTAACAGATAAGGCATCTATCTGATCTGATATTATTATTTTGTTTACCAATATTTATATAAAGACAATTTTGGAGTTGGTTGATTATTAAGAATACAATTTCAAGAAATATAGGCTTCATTTTTAGCTTCAATTAATTCACCACAAATCAATCTAATGATGAAAATAAACAAACAACAAATAATTGTAAAAAAAAAGAAGAAACTTTAGAAACAAATGCAACACAATGGTAACAAGATTGAAAAATAAACTAGATTTTATCTGTTCTTTTTTTATCAATATTAGATACAAGTTCAAATAATTTATTTACAAATATTGAACGGTTAGGTACACGTGATTTATTATCCTATGGACAACTTTCATATGATACTATATCAACATCAATCCAAAGTAATAATACATTACCATTATCAGTTAATGTAAGTCTCACATATGTTTTAATAATCGACAAATAGAACTCTAAGTTAAAAGAAAGATAAATTCATTGCTAAAGTATTAATTTCATCAAAGAGAAAATCTAGTGTTTCTCTAACTTTGATTTGATATATAATACATGCAAACTATCTTATTTCATAGAGATAAAAGTTTATATCAATAATTTCAAATATATTCTATCAATCAGAAAATTAGAGTATGAACATTTTCTTTGCTGGCATCTATCTTTAAAAATATATAACTTAGAGTTTATTTGATCGCTTATTTTTTCATCATGGTTTTGATTTAACATTATCATTACAAATTCTAATTGAAATATATGTAATATGAATTAAAAGGTTCAATTATATATCTATCTGATTTATTTGTACATGGTTTGATGAAGATGATTTAATAATATCCTTAATAAATTATAATTTATGTAAATCTAGTATATTACTTGAACACACAACAAAAGAATATAATGAATTATATATACATTTAATTGAACGTAATTATAAATTAATAACGAAAACTCATGCATATGCATCATGTTTATTCATGAAGTTGATTTAAATTCATATGATATTTGATTATCATTAATTAAAGATGATATTTTAACACAAAAAATTATATCAATTAGTCTTGAAAAACTTTTAATAGTTGGTCAATATCCCAAAAAGGATATATAGTGTTAATACTTTCACGTATTTATACATTATTACAATGACCAAATAAAAATACAAAATCCATTAAATAATAAACATGTTAATAAAGAACAAACAATAATTGATAGTTCATCAATAATATCATCATCAGATAATATTCTTATTGAACTTGTTGAAGAATTATATGAAGGTACTAAACAATTATCAACATTACCATATGAAGCTTTACTTTTATTACGTCCTTTATCCTTATTACTTGCACACATTATTTTTTTTTTCGTGCTTTAATTAATGCACGTTATTCAGCTAAAGTTAATGAATGGACTTTATTATCAATGACAAATATTGCACAAAGAAAATCACTATGTATGGCTATATGGGGGTTAACTTGTCTTATGTTAAGTGCATCTCTATCACAGGGTGTGGGTATGGATGAAGACAAGACCTATAATGATTCCCACACCCACACCCTCTTATGAGTAAAATAGAGTGAAATCGTATTTGGGCTGTTGGATGAACTATTTTTAGTGTACTCAAAAAAGTGAGTACACTACTAAAATCGGTCTGTGTGTCCGTCCGGCCGTTAACACGATAACTTTCGAAAGGAGAGTCAGATTGCGATGAAATTTTGTACACAGCTTAGTCTTGACAATATCTCGGTCGAGTTCGAAGATGAAAAGGATCCATCAAGAAATGACTGAGTTATCGAAAAAATTGTGATTTTTGACGAGACCATCCCTGAGGGGAGGTACGGGGATTTTTCGAAAAAAATTTTTTGCTCATAATTATTCACAAAATACATAAATCGACTCAGTTTTTAACGCTGATTCTGAATCTGATATTAGTTTTGAACTGAATCATAGTTTTGTGTACTCAAAAAGTGAGTACACTATAGAATAGTCAGTGTATCCGTCCGTCCGGTTGGCTGTTTACATGATTACTTTTGACAGCAGAGTCAGATTGCGATGAAACTTTCTACACAGCTT